AAAAAAAAAAAAAAGAAATGGGCTGTAAGGGCTGGGAATTTAGCTCAGTGGTGCTGTGCCTGCTTCACAAGTATAAGGTCCTGAGTTTGATCGCCAATACTGAAAAAAAATGAAAACAATAAATGAGCTGTGTAGTTTCAGAAATAAGCAGAGATTGAAAGAGGATTGCAAAAAAAAATAAATATTCTTATTAATATCAACAGTATTCCATCATTAGTAACCCAGTGCCACTACAATTTCTGCTATCTCTAGCATACTATCATCAGTTATCATCACATCTGCACATATCTTAACAGCTAGATTGCTTCTCCTTTCCAGATGTCAATGTTTCTTAGGTAACATAACTTCAAATCTACATTCTCAGAAATAAACCTACTAAATGAAAATAATATGGCAGAGTTTAGAGCCAGACTTCTGGGCTCAAATAAGGGCTTTGATATTAATTAGGCTGAAATCTTGGACAATTTACTTAACCTGTATGTACTTCAATTTCCTGATTTGTGATATCAAGAATCTTAGCATAACTAAATCATTAAGTATTATGAGAAAAGAATGCTTCATGAATGAGTAAGTGCTAAAGACAACATCTCAAAAGCTTGCACTCGTTAAATATTTATTACTATTGTATCATTTCATGGTACTCATAGATATATACAGCGTTTACTGTTAAAGTAACAAATACTATGTACTTTTTATACTTTTTAAATTTTCACATGTAGTGAGATACATACATACCAATATTGTGGTCCTGTTAATATTAAACAGGACAATGATAAATGTCATAGAAATGACTTCCTGCATCGAACACAGTCTTCATCTCAGGGTAGCAGGAGTCAGCTGAGCAGGAGGCACTGGCCACCCCCCAATGTCTTCTTGATAGCATTCTTGACTTCCTGGTTCCTTAGGCAGTAGATGAAAGGATTTAGCATGGGTGTGAGCACTGCATACACAGCTGAAATGAGTTTGTTGGAATTAAATGAAGCAATAGCTCTGGGCCTGGCATACATGAAAATCATGGCTGTGTAATAAATGACAACAACTGTCAGGTGAGATGCGCAGGTGGAGAAAGCTTTGTTCCTTCCCTGGGCAGAGGGTATATGTAGAACAGTGGAAACAATGTAGATATAGGAGAGGACAGTGGTGATAAGAGGGAAAACAAGAATGACAATTGCCAGAGCAAAGTCCACTAGCTCAGCTGTGGACATGCCTTTGCATGCTAGTTTGAGGATTGGTGAGATGTCACAGAAAAAGTGGTTCATGGCATTGGAGCCACAGAAGGTGACATGTGAAATGAAATAGACTTTGATGACTGAGACCATGAAGCCACTCATATAGGAGAAGGCCACCAGCTGCACACAATAAACCGTGGTCATTATTACTGGATATTGAAGAGGATGGCAGATGGCCACATAGCGGTCATAGGCCATGGCTGCCAGGAGAACACACTCTGTGCAGGCAAGGGAGACAAAGAAGTAGAGCTGAGTCATGCAACCTGCGAAGGAGATGTGCCGTCTCTGCAGGAGGAACCCATCCAGCATCTTGGGAACAGTGACGGAGACATACCAGACCTCCAGGAAAGACAGGCTACTCAGGAAATAGTACATGGGCTTATGGAGGGAGCCAGTGACCCAAACAGTGAGCATGATGACAAGATTCTCTGCTACCACCAGTAGGTAGACCACAAGGAAGAGGAAGAAGAGCAGGGTCTGCAGCCATGGGGCAGTGGGGAAACCCACCAGGATGAACTCCCTGACCATAGTGATGTTCATCTCCAAAATTACTATAAGCACTGAGACATTGAGATCTTCTATGGTAACATCACAAGTAATGAAGATGCCTATGGTATCAAACAAAAAATCAAAATACATTGTAATTCAGTCTTCCTATGCATAAGACTCATAAAATAATTTTTGTTGTAGGAACTCTTCTTCAATGTAATGCAAACATTTCCACTAAAGTTTTTTTTAAACAAGCCTCCCTAAACTGAAAATCACCTCCACCTCAGCTCAGAAAATCACCTATTGACAGTGATTCAAATGTTGACATTTTTGTTATTCCTAGCTCCTTTGTCAGTGAAAACAAATACATTTTTTCTCTTCCATAATGACTCCATTTCTGAATCTCATTAGGAATTTACTAAACATTTTATTTCTACCTGAAATAAAACAAGGGGAGAGCACTGTTAAGAAAAGTTCCAAGAGATTAATATTTCAGATTTTCTATCTGTAGCCCTTTACATGAGCACAATTTCTTTAGGGTCTGGAAAGTATTTTACATGAAAATAACTCTTGGAAAATTCCACTTAAAAGATCTACAAAAGCAGGCCTCACCAAAATTTGCTTTCCACTGAACATTCCCCTCCTGAATGGAGACTTTTTTCTATTGCAGTGCCATCTTCAAAAACACAAAACTGAGGGAAGGTAAAAGGTACGAAAAAAGGAATTAAATGTGCTATGTACATGTTCCAAACTTCCCATAAGGAATGTAAATACTACATACTACCCACATGTACTAATAAAAATATTTTGAGGACAAAATGTAAGACTTGTGTCTCACCTTTACTCCTGGAGCGTGAACAGCCAAGCGGCCTTCACGATGCTGGGCTCAGTAGCTCAGCGAGGCTCCAGGAGCTTGTCCGATAGCGAGAGTCACCCAGGAAGGAACACACCAGGCAAGTTGGCTAATAGACCTTTATTAGTCTGGCCAGACGGCACTCCCCAAGCCAAGTGGCTCAGAGAGGCGGCTAGCTCAGAAACAGAGGCCACTTTATATAGGGCTGAAGGGGGGTTTACATATAAAACTTACGGGAAGAGGACAAAGGCAAAGAAGCAGTCATTCTGACCTAGTGGTTATCAGGCACATACTTGACCGTCATGTACTAATGATTAGCAGATTGCTCATCCACTGTTCCATTTACAACTTAGATTATAATGTTCAGAACATTCAGACTACAGGCATGCAAAGAGTGACACAATCCATGTTGAGTCTCTGTGTTCACTATAGTCTCCATCCAGCCTTCCAGCTACTTCAAAACAATTACCTAACAATTCACAATTAATCATTAGTTATCCTATAAGGGATGGGGGGAGCGACAGTCTCTAGGTCATTCGCTGGTCAACATGGAGTCGCTCTGGTTCAGTCAGGCTCTTACAAAAATAAAAATAAAAATAAAAATGCAAAGCCTTGTCCTTTATGACTATGAACTAAATGGCCTGAACAATGACAGGCAAACCTATGGATATTGATATCACTTGAATTAACAAGTGAATTAATGGAACCTTTGCAGTTTTGAAATTCATAGGAAATAGATTATAGGCAGAGAAGAGAGATTTCTAGATCTCTATGGACAGGAGCAACATGTCAATTAGATTGTATATCTTTGATACATTCAGAACTTGCCCTCCCAGGATACTTTCACAATAAATGTATTCACAAGATCTAAATGATAGAACCACCCATGAAATGACAGAATTGAAGAGATACAAGAGGGTAAGTGTGTGCAATAAAAAGGCTGGTGGATCTTTTAATGATGGACAGCAGTGTGTGTGTGTGTGTGTGTGTGTGTGTGTGTGTGTGTGTTTGACAGAGACAGAGAGCCTACCTTACAAATTAATTTCATTAAACATTTCAATTATTCTTAAAGCCCGTGATCAAGTTCTGCCTTTAGATCATTGTTTACTTTGCTAAACCCTTGTCCACAAGATAGTTTGCACAAAGAACATGATAGACCATTTAGATGTTAGTGTGAAACCCTCCTGGACTAGAGATCATCTGGCCCTAACTCATGGCAAGGGCTACAAGGGTGAAGTGCTGAGATATACTTTATTGGCACCCTGTTGTCTTTTCATAGCAGTACATTGTCATAGCTCAGCACTCTTGCTGGTAGCAGAAGATTATCTCTTGTTCCCTGCCTCCAATCTATAATTTCATTTCTGAAGAAGTTTACTAGTAAGTGGCTCCATGCCTCGTTGTTCAGTCAAATGCTTTTCATGGAGAAAGGAACTTCTGTACTATTAGAGAAGAGTTAGTTTTAATCATGATCTAGTCCTAGTAGGGAACAGCATCAATATAGGGGTTCTTACTCATTGGGCCATTCCAGTATTCCACAATTCTATCATCAGGCAAACAATTTACTATGCATTTATCTCTGCATAGAATTGAAGAGCACTGGCACTAGAATCAGGGCTAGGTCTGGATTCTATCAGTAGCAGCTGCAAAATACTGTATATACTTCCATAACCTCTGCTATAAAGTGGGAAACATTTACAACACCTACCTCAGTGCATTGTGTTGTAAGCATAGAATGTGATGATGTGTGAAAGTAAATATAGGACTTAATAATTACTGTCTATGAGCATTGGCTGCTATCATATAACACTAGAAACATGCTTGTTTATTCAGTTGTGTTTACTCACACATGCTTACTCACATGTGCTCATAAACACATAGAGTCATTCATTTTCTCTCCTTTACTCACTTTTCCTGTTATATTCTTCGGAATAAAATGACCCGAATTTGTTAGCAAACCATATTATAAAATCTGTGAATATCTTTTGAGATACATATTACTCATGTATTCTTCCAAATTTACTTTTTAGTGAAATGTTTACTGCTTAATCACAACCTTATTTCCTCTAATATTTTCCTCAAGTTTTTGCAACAAATATACCTCCAGTGTGCTCTAGTTTGAAACATGGAGAGATGCAGAATTGTCTCATTCTATTGTTCCTCTTGTAAAAGCAAAACTCTAAGCTCTGGGCTTGCTGTGTTGTTGGCAGGATTGTGCTAAATGGTATTTCTTCATTGTATTCTAGGAATACTTTTGTACAGTTCTGCATGTGCTTGTTCTAAAGGGATAATACTAACATCTACTGGCATCTCCTAGAGCATGAAATGTGTCTTTTGTGCCCTCGTCTAATAACCAGAAAATTAGACTCTGCTCAAATTTCCCCAGTAGAGCAAAAATATGAATCTTAATTTCTCATAAACTTCCCCCAAAATACTCTTTCTGCTATTCAAGAATGGTACCTTTAGCCATTTGGCCAAGTCCACCTTCATTTTCTTTGGAGCTATCTCCAGGAATCACACAGTCTTTCTTGGTATTGCCATTTGTTCACCATGATCCAACTGTCCTCACTCTGAGAATGGAAAATTCTTCAGATCTGTACACTGGTCATGGGAAAGCAATGGTGTGCAGATTCTTATGAACCCCAGAGGACCATGTATAATCTTCATAGTCTGCATGATGGGTAATGCAGCTCAAAGGCAAAAAGAGAGGAGCAGGGACAGGGTAATATATTCACTACTTGCCTGCCTTTTTTCCACGTCTTGTCTCCAGGGACCGGCTTATACTAAGTCTGTGCTAACTCTAGGGAAGCTTAGTGTGTATTGCCAACACTATGTCCAGGAGAACTGAGAAGTTGAATTTCATCTATCTTCAAATTTGTGTTTAATATAGAAACAAGATTATTTTTATAACTGTAGGTGCAGTGTGGTCCTTTCACTTATGTACTTGTATATGCAAGTGTTAAAACATGAAATTACTCAGAAATGAGAATAAGAAGTCTATGTGAGTTATAGGTAACATAGAATTTCCTTTATATATTCTTTACATAAAATATATTTACTATTTGTACTGCTTCATTGTTTTCTCACTGTATGTGATACTATGCCACATAATTTCTGGAATAAAAATATGAAGGTCTCTGGGAATTTATGATATTATAATAAAATGAGAAGCATACCATGTAATTAGATGATATGTGCCATAAAGCAAAAACCTACATAGGAAACACTAAAAAAAACCCAAAGAAATCACACAACACTACCAAAAAATGATTAGTTCTCAAAGGAAGAAAGCTTCTAGAAAACAATTAACAAAATTGACAGTGGTAAATCCTTACATATCAATCATTACACAAAGTTAGTAAATTATGTAATGAAACAACACTCCTGATTATTACTTTTCTGGTGTACAAAAATATGTTAATGTTTTCTGACTATACAGATCTTCCAATACACTGTTCATGACAATAACCTTTGATCCAGGTATTCGCCCTTCTCTTCTGTTCCACCTACTCATGATTACAGGTACATTTGTAGGCCCATACACTTTCCTTAGGTGGCATCCTATCAAAAGGAAATAACTTAAGTAAGAGTTTCCAGTTTTTTGTTTGTATGTGTTTTTAGAGGGGAATAAATACATTTAACAATGACTATTTTATACTATGATACATATATATCTAAGTTTGTTCCAAAGATAATGACATCATGATTATCACGCTAAAAATATTATTATTATTATGTGTGGCTCCTGATTTTCTCTTAATATTCTACAGGAAATCAACTACTAAAACAATGATAATTGATAAAAGTAACGGTTCTCTAACTATATTTTAGATGCCAGGGTGCTTGCTAAATGGATTAAGTTATGATAGTTAAGCTCACTGGTCCTACTGTACTATTGATGTCACTGATCTCTTCTGGGTGTTCAACCACCAAAGGGCAGAGACCAACATTAAAAGGCAAGTGGGCTAAGAAGACCACCAATATTTTGACCTTGGCCCTCCAAGGTCTTGGAAGATCCAAAGTATGAAGGAATCTTTTCATCTTTGGTAACCTTACATCTTTGGCAAGTCACCCAACCTCCTGAGCAGGGAGATTGCTGGGCACCAGAGGATAAATGCAATGTGTGCTAAAGGAGGGTCACCATGAGAAAAAATCTCCTACACTTTCACTAAAAGTAACTTGGTCAAGCAAGGTCCATGACCCATCCTAATGGCTAACAATGACAGGAGCTGAGGGGCTCTGTGCATGGTTTCAAAATAACGCCTAAAGTGACTTTACTGACCTTTACAGATAGGAAGAT